AAATAGCTATAAATTGCCTAGTAGATTTTTTTTTAAATTTATTTATTTGAAAGGCAAAGTCACAGAGAGGCAGAGGCAGAGGCAGACAGAAAGGTCTTCCATTTGCCAGTTCACTCCCACGATGGCTGCAACAGCTGGAGCTGCACCAATCCAAAGCCAGGGGCCAGGAGCTTCTTCTGAGTATCTCACACAGGTGCAGGGGCCCAAGGACTTGGGCTACCTTCTACTGCTTTCCCAGGCCATAGCAGAGAGCTGGATCAGAAGTGGAGCAGCCAGGACTCGAACCGGCAACCAACTGGCACTTCAGGTGGCGGCTTTACTGGCTGCACCACGGCACCGGCCCTGTAGATTTTTATCTGTGGAATGTGTCCTAAGTCTGTAAAAAAGCAGGTATTTTTTTCTTCATTATTCTAAAGTCTAGAATTCTAGTTCTAGAATCTTTACTGTCTTCCTGAACCTCCAAGAAAGTAAGTCTAGAGATTACTTTGGTGCAAGTACCTGTTTTCTCTATAAATTCATTTTTTGAAAAAAATAAAGAAGACCTGTAAAATAATCAAATAGAAAGATGAATATAAGAAGGTCTTTGACTTTGAAGAACTGAAAACCTAATTCTGTTTAATCATGAATTAAATGTAAGGCAGAAAGAGGTAAGTAGCAACATGTAGGAAGCAGGTGAGAGCCCTGAACACTTTGGTACAAGTCCAAGTAAGAGTCAAGTGTCCTTCTCATTCATTAATTCATTCCTCTTTGAATAGTAGATATTGGTACAAATTTCTGACATAATAATGGTTCCCACAGTCATCTTTAGAATCATTAATAGCCTATCAAGTCATTAATAGTATAGGAAAACTGAGTACTCTGCAGTCTCTTCAGTTAACTCTATACTTGTTGTTCTTTTCTTGCTAATTTAGTTCCATCTATCAGGTTTTTTTCCTCCTGCTATGGCTTGTTTTCTCAAATTTTAAACTATTTTTTATTTTTTAAAAAAATTTTTTATTTGAGAGGTAGAATTACAGATAGAGAGAGGGAGAGACAAAGGTCTTCCATCTACTGGCTCACTTCCCAAATGGCCACAACTGCCGAAGCTGGGCCAATCCAAAGCAAGGGGCCAAGAGCTTCCTCTGGGTGTCCAACGTGGGTGCAGGGGCCCAAGCACTTGGGCCATCTTCCACTGTTTTCCTAGGCCATAGCAGAGAACTGGATCCAAAGTGGAGCAGCCAGGACATGAACCAGTGCCCATATGAGATGCTGGTGCCATAGGCAGAGGTTTAGCCTACTATGCCACAGCTCCAGCCCCCTCAACTATTTTTTTTAAAGATTTATTCATTTGAAAGACAGAGTTACAGAGAGGAAGAGAATGAATCTGTCTGCTGCTTCACTTCCCCAGTGGCTGCAATAGCTGGGGCTGGTGCAGGCTGAAGACAGAAACCAGGAACTCCATCTGAGTTTCCCTCATGAGTGGCAGGAACCCAAGTATTTGAGCCATCATCTGCTGCCTCCCAGGCCCACTACCTGGAAGCGTGATGGGAAGCATGGAGTAGCCTGGACGTGAATCAGGCACTCTGATAAGTGTTGGAGGTGTTCCAAGCAGTCATTTAACCTACTGTGCTACAATGCCTGTCCCTTAATGTTTTAAATGTGAAAACTTTTAGTGAAGCTTTTTGTAAATCACACCAATAAATTTTATCTAGATTGAGAGAAACCTAGTTGACAACTATTTTATGCTCCTACCTTTAGTGAAAGTTTATATAGTTTCAGTAGTGTCAGTATACAAACATCAAATTTTGACTATGAAACAATTCAGCTTAACATATATTACAATGTACCAGATACCATGTGAAGTAACACATGGTCCCTGCCTTGAAGGAGTGCAAAATTAGATTCTATCTTTACTAAAATCTTCAGCACTTGGAAAATGTAAATTAGCCACTTTCACTTGTTTCCTGGAATTTGGAAATATTTTTTCGATGCCCAGTGTGTATGGTGAAATGTATGGACATTTAAGATAATATGACCATGCATATTACTATTGTCTTTTTTCCTTAATTATTCTCTGGTCATACTTGCTTTTATTTCCCATTCTTGAAAAATAGAATTTATATGTCAGTTTATATATCTTGTACATATGCATTACATATTTGCATTAATCTACATGAAAAATCTTCAAAATGCCATATGTACCTGTTATCCATTTATAATACTAATCAAATATACATGAAAAAATAAAACCTTAAAAATGTACCCACAACTTTAGCTCCTAAACAAATTTTACTTTAGATCTTTATCCATGCAGCTTTTAACAAGTACAAGGGGAAGGCATTGTGGCACTGGGGGCTAAGCTGCTGCTCCCGTGTCCACATCCCATACCAAAGTGCCTGGAACTACTAAATCCTGCCCCTGCTTCCTACTAATATGCACCCTAGGAGGCAGCGGATGAAGGCTCAGGAACTTGGATTCCTGCCACCCACATGGAAGACCTGAAAGTTCCAAGTCTTTTACTCTGGCCCAGACCTGGTTGTTTTGGGCACTTGGGAGCAAATCAGCAAATGAGACATTTATTTTTCTGTCACTTTGCCTTCAAAATAAACATTTTAAAAAGCTTAAAAAATAGGGCCGACGCTGTGGGTATAGCCACTACCTGCAGCATTGGCAGCCCACGTGGGCGCAGGTTTGAATCCTGCCTGCTCTACTTGCAATCCTGTTCCCTGCTAATGTGACTGGGAAAGCAGAGAAGATTGTTAAGGCAAACAGCGGCAGAGAACATATTATTACCTCAGTTCTTTGTCTCACATAGAAGAGAGATTTAAAAGCAAGATTTATTAGAGTCAAAGGCTTCCAGCCAGAGTGGCATGGAGGGGAGCTTCCAAGGGAGGAAAAAACCCAAAGTGGTCCAAGGCAGTCAATTTTTGAAAAACAAAAAACAAAAAACAAAAACAAACAAACAAAAAACCTTGACAATCAGATCAACATTGTTATGAGGCAGGTGCAAGGTGTCCGGCGCGTAACAAATCTTCCCAGGCAGACGAATCAATCAATTCACAGGCTTTTATTGGGGTTCCGCTCCCGGGCGAGGTTCCCCGGTCCCAACAGAGCAACAGAGCAGGGGCAGGGGAGGCCGCGTGTCAGAGATTGGGAGAGCTCCTTTTATAGATTCAGGGCATGGGGTTAAAGGTTGAGGCGGGTCTGATCCTCACTGGTTGACCTTTAGGCACCCGCGGGGACCTTGACAAGGACTTTCTTCCCCAGAAGTAGGCCTCTCCATTTCCGGAAGTGTAGGCCTTCCCTCTTGCAGAACCCAAAGCTACCAGCTGGGACAAAACCCTTTTTGCAATCCTTTATCTTGTCTGGCTTGCTTAAAAAGAGCCATCATTAAGGGTTGGATACCTAATTTGTTTTCATTGTAAACTGGGAGCGCAGAAGGTGGAGTCAGCATCCCCTTGCTTTTCTCCTACGATTGGAAGTGGGCAGGCAGGCACTTCTGACCCTACTAAGGATAACTTTTGGGGGAAAGCAAGCACTCTACACCCCAAATTTCCACTGAGACCACCCTGACTGCCTGTTAGCCCATCTGAGTCCTCACAAGATGGCCCAAGTGCTTGGGGCCCTGCTCCCACGTGGGAAACATGGATGAAGCTCCTAGCTTTGGCCTGGCCCAGCCCTGACTGTTGTTGCCATATGGGGAGTGAACCGGCAGATGAGATTCTCTCTGTCTCTGCCACTGACCTTCTTCCTTGCTTTTTTGTTTGTTTGTTTGTTTAAAGATTATTTCATTTATTAGAGAGGCAGGGCGGGGTGGGGAGAGATCTTCCAACAACTGCTTTACTCCCCAAATGGCTGCAACAGCTGGAGCTGGGCCGATCTGAAGCTAGGAGCCAGGAGCTTCTTCCAGGCCTCCCAAGCAGGCAGGGGCCCAAGGACTTGGACTATCTTCCACTGCTTTCCCAGGCCTAGATCAGATGTGGAGCTTCTGGGACCGGTATAGGATGCCGGCACTGCAGGTGGCGGCTTTACTGGCTATGCCACAGTGAGGCCCCCGTAACTGACTTTCAAATAGATAAATAAATCTTTAAAAAAATAAACAGCAAAATAAAGTATTTAAAAAGTACTTAATGTTATATATTTCCACAAATGTGATTTTTAATTTTAATGTCAATCATATTGACATGCCATAATTTGGTGTTCAAATATTTATATGAAGTTATCAAGTTTTCACTTCACAATGGGCCACTACAATGGGACTGAGTCGGTCTATCACTTAAATTTACATGAAAATACATGAATTCACTGGCAAGAAAATACCTGCTTTACCAGATCCCCTTTGCTACTCTTTCAAAGTGCATGTAGGGGGCGGTGCAGTGCAGTAGCCAGGGAGGCTGCGGCCTGCAGTGCAGGCATCCCTCGTGGCTGCTCCAATTCCTATCCAGCTCTCTGCTGTGGCCTGGGAGAGCAGTGGGATTGCCCAACCTGCACCCACGTGGGAGACCGGGAAGAAGCTCCTGGTTCCGGATCGGCACAGCTCTGGCGTTACGGCCATTTGGGGAGTGAATCAGCAGATGTTAGACCTCTCTCTCTCCCTCTCCTCTCTCGCTGTAACTCTTTCAAATAAATAAACAATCTTAAAAAAAAAAGTGTATGTAAGAAGGCTAATTATCTTTTGTAGTTCTTACAAATTCAATAGTACCAAGGGAAAAAGAGTACGATACAAACCTAAGGCCCCACTCACAACGCATATTCACAGACGTGAGGCGCGAATAAAAGCTGACTACTAAATCCCCACACACTGGTTTTTCCTCCGGCGGATTCCGCAGCCTGAGCCTATGATTTTTCTGGTGAGAACCATTCAATAGGCGGTATCTAAGGAGAGCTTCGGCCGATGTTTCCGGGCATCTTCCGGCTGCTGGCCAGGCCGAAACTCTGGGTGTGCAGTCGGGATTGCTCGTCCTGGGAGGACAGGATGAGGAGGGATTCGTCCATCACAGCCGCACTTCAGAAAAGCCACAAAGACTCTCGGGGGCGCGGGGCGCCTTCCCGCCCCAGACCCACTGGGAGGCTCTGCGCAGGCGCGGCAGTTGTGCGACATCCGTCACTTACGGCCGAAGCGGTTTGCGCTGTACAGACCTCTTAGTTGGAGCTGTGCAGACCTCTTAGGAACGAACAGCTTCGGCGCGGTAATCAGCTCCTCTTCCTGCTTTTCTTACTTCTCGTAGGTAGTTGGGGCAGCCCTGGAGCTTCTGTACCTGCTCCGGGCCTCCAGTCACGGGCCGTCCTATCGTGCTCCTCACATGCTGGGGGGGCTGCGCTGGCGCCCTGGTGGGGGTGAGGGGCGGGGTCGAAGCCGGGCAGCGCTCCATCCCGGCGTCTCCGGGTTGAAAGCTCCCGGGTAACTCTCAACTCTTGTTTTCCAAGACTTGGTATCCTGGAACTGACTCGCGGGGCCCGCCATGGAGCCAGAGCAGATGCTGGAGGGACAGACGCAGGTATCCGGAGGCCCTTGGATTTGGGGTGGCGGCGTGCAGGGAGGCAGCGGGGAACGTGGCTCATGTCTGTGGGATCCTGTTTTGTTTTCTAGGTTGCAGAGAACCCTCATTCTGAGTATGGTCTCACAGACAACGTAGAGGTAACTCGCTCAATTCCTGTGCCACACCTCTGGTCGTCTCTTGAGAGCTGGAGAAAACTTGGGATCCGTTTTTACTAGGTTGCTTTGCACGAGGGGAAATTTTTGCTACCATGAGCTGAATAGTATCAGATTATAGGTAACTCGTTTGACTAGCGAACCAATTACTTTTGAGCCAAGAAGCCTAACTTAAAAGTCATTTTGGGAAACAAGCCCGCATTACTGAAGGACACAGAGACATTTTGCGTGGTGGGTATGAGTGCATCGGTTGGGATGTTAAGGTGTAAAAACGGATGAAAGTTCAGCTCGTTGGTCTTTGTAGTAGTAGAAGATTGTGCTGGTGGAGTTAAAGCTTAATGGCAGAGTTCAGTAGTAGATGCCATTGGAAGCTGTAACAGAGTAGACACTTTTTATCTTACATGATTTAGTCTTGATTCAGAGACTACAAGTACAAGCATTCCAAAGAAGGTGTACCTTTTTTTTTTTTGTAGGCCTTTTAAGAGATTGTGTCTAAAAAAATGGAAGGTACTTTTGTGAATGAATGAGTAAATACTGACTGGGACAGATGAATTGACCACAGTTAGGCTAATAGAGACTTCTTAGAGCAGATTTATGTGTTATCTTAAAAAAATAGACATGGGTGATTACGTTTGAATAAATGAGCGCAGGAGCATTTCTGTGTATAGTAATAGTAATAGCTGCTAATGTTTCTTCAGCCCTTTTGTGATGTGCCATACACACTGCTAAGCAATTTGCATCTATCTTTACACCTAAGGCTCAGTTGAGTGACTTGTCCACTGTCACCCAGGAAGTAAGTGGAAAGCTGTAATTTTCTTTTTAAGATTTTTAAAAATATTTGCATGTATTCTTTTTTTTTGTATATTTTATTTATTTGAAAGGCAGAGTTACAGAGAGAGAGATATTGGTCTTGTATTTGCTGGGCACTCCCCAAATAGCCAGGGTTGAGCCAGGCTGGAGCCATGAGTTTCTTCCGGGTCTCCCACTGGGGTACAGGGGACCAAGCAGTCGGATGATCCTCTGCTGCTTTCCCTGGCACATTAGCAGGGAGCTGGATCGGCAGTGGAGTAGCAGGGATGCAAATCGGTGCGCTGCTGGTTGCAGCTTAACCTGCTATGTTACTGCACTGGCATCAAGAGCTGTGTTTTAAATCTAGGCAGGCTGATAGCTTTACAGTAGGATTAATTTGTATTGCAACTTCTAGAGTTCACTGGCATGGCTACTTTGTACCTATAAAATTGCTATTCCTGTGTACTGATTTGACCAGTGGTAAAAAGAGTCCATCTGTGTTTGTTTTTTTTTTTTTTTTTTTAAGATTTGTTTATTTATTTGAAAGGCAGTGCTAGAGAGCGAGCGAGCTCCTCCATCCACTGGTTCACTCCCAAAATGGCTGCAGTAGCCGGAGCTGCGCCAATCTGAAGCCTGGATCCAGGAGCTTCTTCCGGGTCTCCCACGTAGGTGCAGGGACCCAAGTATTTGGGCCGTCTTCTGCTTTCCCAGGCAGGGAGCTGGATGGGAATTGGAGCAGCTAGGACTTGGAACTGGTGCCCATATGGGATGCTGGCACTGTAGGCGGTGGCTTTCCCTACTGTGCCACAGCGCCGCCCCCCCCCATCTGTTTTCATAGTGCAAATTTTAATTGAACTGCAATGCTGAATAAGGTGACTCTGTAAATACACTGTTTTGTGTTCTAATCATCTAAGAGACTTTAAGGTGTCCTCACAGTCTTTTCTCGATGGTATTTGTATATGAAGGCAAAGCCTTGATACTGTAGAGCAGGGTTGGAGAATGTTTAACTCACTGTGGGCTGTATAAGGTCCTAGAAATCATTAGATCTATCCTGCTGAGGCAACCACAGGTGGAACTGAAAATTCAATAAATGTATAGCAGGCTACTTTTTAAGTTATATGGCTGGGGAATGATGTTAAAAATATCCAAATGGGGCCAGCACTGTGGCATAGTGGGTAAAGCTCATTACTTGCAGTGGCCCTTGGTGGAAAAAAGGTTCTCGACCCCTGCTGTAGAGCAATGATGCCCAAGTGCTGCATCCCAAAACCTTAGACCAATTTCCATGAGAAAAAATAAGGATAGTGGAGAGTGTTCATTATATTATTTCATGACTGATAGACTTGTTTCTATAACTTTTTAAGAAAAGATTTATTTATTTGAAAGGCAAAGCAATAGGGAGAGGGGGAGAGAGAGAGAGAGAGAGAGAGATCGTTCATCAAGTATTTATTCCCAAAATGGCCACAACACCAGGGCTGTGCCAGGCTGAAGGCAGGAGCCAGAAACTCCATCCTGCTTTCCCATGTGGATGGCAGGGACCCAAGGACCTGGGCCATCTTCTGTTGCCTTCCCAATCACATTGGCAGGAAGCTGGATTAAAAATGGAGCAGCCAGAACTTGAACTGGCACTGCAGTATGGCATGCTTAACCTGCCGTACCAGAGTGCTGGTAATGTAATTTTAGTGCCATTTTATGAATTAATGGTGATAGTAAAATAGTAATTTAAATTTTTACTTGGTAAAAAATATACCTTATATTAGTTTTTTCAGTCACCATAGTTTGTATGTATGTATTTAGGTTTGCTTTTTATTTATGTGAAAGGCAGAGTGACAGAGAGGGAGAGACAGAGCGAGAGGTCTTCCATCTGCTGTTTACTCCACAAATGGCTGCAGTGGCCAAGGCTGGGCCAGACAGAAGACAGGAGTCAGGAGCCCCTGTGTGTGGCTGGGGTACAAGCAGTTGGGCCAGCTGCTGCTGCCTTCCCAAGTACATCAGAGGGAGCTGGATGAGAAACAGAGCAGCCAAAACTCAAACTGGCTATCAGATAGGGAATGCCGGCTGTGTAAGCAGTGGCTTAACCCATTGCCCTGTTGATGCTGGTCCACTTACCTTACCTTTTTTTTTTTTTTTTTTAATTTGTACATTTTGGGAGTTTGGAAACTACTGTTCTATAGCTGCCTCTCTTTCAATTCCATTTTCTTTCCTTTACCAGCTTAGGAATTTTTCTTAAGCGGTCAAGTCTCATTGTATCTTCTTGTCTGTTGTTTTAAGAACCTTATAACAGAGGCTGGCACTAGGCTTAGAAGGTTAGGCCTCTGCCTGCAGTGCCAGCATCCCATATGGGTGCTGGTTCAAGTCCTGGCTGCTCTTCTTTTGATCCAGCTCCTTGCTAGTGTGCCTAGAAAGCAGAGGAGGATAGCCCAGGTTCTTGGGCCCCTTCACCTGTGTAGGAGACCCAGAGGCGGCTCCTGGCTCCTAGCTTTGGCCTGGCCCAGCTCTGGCCATTTTAGCCATTTGGGGAATGAACCAGCAGATGGAGGATTGAATTCTCTCTCTCTCTCTGTCCTCTCTATTTCTGACTTTCAAACAAACAAACAAAATCTTAAAAATAACAGAATTCCATTGTTTGTCTTCCAAGCCTTTTTACTATTGTTGGCATATATTTTACTTATATGTGTGCTGTGACCTCTAAAATGCATGACAGTTATGTTTTATTTATTTATTTCTTATTCTCTTAAGGAATTTAAGCAATAAGAAAATGAAGAATTTTGCATTTACCCACATATTTACTATTTTGAGGCTCTTTCTTTTCTGTGGATCTCAGCTTCTATCTGGTGTTGTTTTCATTCTACTTAAAGGGCTCTGACTTTTCTTGTACAAGTCCATTTGCAAGAAATTCTAGCTTCTGAATGTTTGGAGTACGCATTTGGTGTAACACTTAAAATGCATTGGGGACACCTGCTTCCTATGTTGAGTTCTCCGGGTTCAAGTCCTGGCCACCCTTATGATTCTAGCTTCCTGCTAATATGCACTGTGGAAGGCAGCAAGTGATATCCTGAATATCTGAAAAAAAAATCATTGTTTTGCATAGTTTTTAGAAGATATTTTTGCTGGGAGTGGATCTGCTTCTCAATGCATAATGTCTTTTGCTGCTTTCAAGGTTTTCTTTTGTTGGGTGGGGACTGGCATTGTGGTGTAGGGGGGTAAAGCTGCTTCCTGTGATGCTGGCATCCCATATGGGCACCAGTTTGTGTCCTGTGTGCTCCACTTCTCATCGAGTTCCCTGTTAATGGGCTAGGAAAGCAGTACAACATGACCCAAGTGTTTAGGCCCTGCCACTCATGTGGGAGACTCACATGAGGCTCCTAGCTTTGGCCTGGCCTGGCCTGGCTCACTACTAGCTGTCGTGGCTGTCTGGGAGTGTACTAGTGGATGGAAGATTGACATCTCTGTCTCTGTCTCTTCTTCAAATAAATAAACATCTTTTAAAATTTTTTTATCAGTTTAAAAAAATATTTTTAATTTTTGATTTATTTGAAAGCCAGAGACAATGGTCTTCAATTCGCTGGTTTACCTCTTAAGTACCTCTAGCATCCATTGTGGGCTAGATGAAAGCCAGGAGCCCAGAAGTCAGTATGAATCTCCCATTTGGGTGTCCGAAACCCAAGTACTTGAGCTATCATCTTCTGCCTGCTGGGCTACACATTAGCAGGGAGCTGAAATGGAAAGTGGAGCCTACCCTCAAACCTAAGCACTCCAATATGGGGTGCAGGCATGCTAAGCTACAGCTAAGCACTGTACCAGACACCTACCCGTTCCTGGTAATTTCTTACTGGATGCTGGGCATTGTGAATATTACCTTGTATAGTATTTGATACTTTTGTATTTCTTGAGACGTACTTAAATTTTGTTCCAGGACATAGTTAAGTTACTTGGTAATAGTTTGTTCCTTTTGAGGCATGCTTTTAAGTTTTGTTAGGTGGGAGCAATCCAGCTTTTAGTTTAGGCCTGATTGCCTCCTCATCAGTGTCCTACTTAGTGCTCCAAGTATTAGGAGGTTTTCCTACTCTGGGTCATGGAACATGAACTGTTCTCAGCCCTGTATGAACTCCAGGCATTTTTCCTCCTGCTTCTTCTGGGAGGTTCTTTTCCTAGCCTTGAGTGGCTTGCCTCAGACCCATACACAAAATATTCACCAGGAGCCTGGAAGGCAGTCTCTTTATAGTCTCTCTCTGTATAATTCTCCTCTCTGTGCCATTTTTTTCTTTCAAAGTACACTGCCCTGCAAATTCTAATTGTTTTTGGTCTTCAAATTTCCAATGGTGTCTTCTCAACTCAGTCTTCCTTCTCGAGCTGCATCCTTTAAGTTCTCTAGGCAGGAAGATGTTACTGGGGGCAACCTCAGGGCTCACTATGCTTTTTCCCCCTTTTTTGTAATCACTATTTTGCAGTGTCTATTATCATCTCATTCTTTTTCCTCCCTCCCTCCCTCCCTCCCTCCCTCCCTCCCTTCCTTTCTTTTTTGACAGGCAGAGTGGACAGTGAGAGAGAGAGACAGAGAGAAAGGTCTTCCTTTGCTGTTGGTTCACCCTCCAATGGTTGCTGCGGCCGGCGCACCGCGCTGATCCGATGGCAGGAGCCAGGTGCTTCTCCTGGTCTCCCATGGGGTGCAGGGCCCAAGCACTTGGGCCATTCTCCACTGCACTCCCTGGCCACAGCAGAGAGCTGGTCTGGAAGAGGAGCAACCGGGACAGAATCCGGCGCCCCAACTGGGACTAGAACCCGGTGTGCCGGCGCCGCAAGGCGGAGGATTAGCCTATTGAGCCACGGCGCCGGCCATTTTTCTTTTCTTTTCTTTTTGATAGTTTGGATATATTAATCTTCAGGTTAATTCAGTATGTTGACTTAACTAAAACATTGGCAGTTGACATATATTAGGTACTCAAATGTGTTCAATATATAAGAGGATTTAGTTAAGTAATTTATTATAAGATATATAAGAGTTGTTTAAGCATTGCTGTTTCTTTTTGGAAAAATTGTAATGTTATGTAACTGACTAATTTGTATTGTACAGAAACACTTTAACAGGAAATTGGAACTGTTTTAAGAAAATACATTTTGAGATTTCAAAGGTTGCCTGAGTTTCTTTTCTTTTAAAAATTTTATTTATGTTACTTATTTGAGAGGCAGAGAAGAATAGAAGGGAGGACAGAGACTGCTTCCATCTGCAGGTTTACTTCTTGTGTGCTCAAGAGCCAGAAACACAGTCCTGGTCTGTCATGTGAGTGGCTGTGACCCAAGTGCTCCAACTATCACCTGTTGCTTCCTAGGATGCCCCTTAGCAGGCAGCTGGAATCTGGAGCCGAGCCAGTGTTAGAACCCAGGCACTCCATTATGGTGCTGGTGTGCCAAATGTTATCTATTTTTTTTTTAAAGATTTATTTATTTATTTGAAAAGTAGAGTTGCAGAGAGAGAGTCTTCCTTCCACTGGTTTAGTCCCCAAATGGCCACAACAACTGGAGCTGGGCTGATCCGAAGCCAGGAGCCCAGAGGCTCCTCCAGGTCTCCCACGTAGGTGCAGGGGCCGAAGGACTAGGGCCATCTTCTGGTTTCCCACGCCATAGTGGAGAGCTAGATCAAAAGTGGAGCAGCCAGGACTTGAACTGGTGCCCATATGGGATACCTGCACTGCAGGTTGCAGCTTTTACCTGCTGCCATAATGCTGACCCCAAGTGTTATCTTAACCATGGCACTGAATGCTCACCCCCAACTCAATTTTGTTTTAATTGTGATCATGGTGAAGTTCTAAACAATAGTGGATTTTTTTTTTTTAAAGATTTATTTATTTGAAAGAGTTACAGAGAGAGGTTGAGGCAGAGAAAAAGGTCCTCCATCCGCTGGTTCACTCCTCTGATGGCCACAATGGGTGGAACTGAGCCAATCCGAAGCCAGGAGCCAGGAGCTTCTTCTGGGTCTCCCACAAGGGTGCAGGGGCCCAAGGACTTGAGCCATCTTCTGCTGCTTTCCCAGGCCATAGCAGAGAGCTGGATTGGAAGAGGAGCAGCCAGGACTAGAACCGGCGCCCATATGGGATGCTGGCGCTTCAGGCCAGGGCGTTAATCTGCTGTGCCACAGCGCTGAAGGCCCAACAATAGTGGATTTTGATCTGGGAGAAAAAACTCATTCAAGATGATAATGTCAGGTTTTAGAAATATCAGGTTATATGATCTTTTCTGCAGTGGGAAGGTGAATTTTACAATGGCTAGAATTTCAGGATTGACTATGCTGTGGGTAGTATATTAAGAAAACTTTATGGGCTGGTGCTGTGGTGCAGTGGGTTAGTCCTCCACCTGCAGTGCCAGCATCCCATATGGTCTCCAGTTCTAGTCTCTGCTGCTCCTCTGCCAATCCAGCTTTCTTCTATGGCTTGGGAAAGCAGTGGAGGATGGCCAAAGTGCTTGGGCCCCTGCACTGGTGTGGGAGACCCAGAGGAGGCTTGTGGCTCCTGGGTTCAGATCAGTGCAGCTTCAGCCATTGGGACCATTTCGGGAGTGAACCAGCAGAAGGAGGACCTTTCTCTGTCTCTCCCTCTCACTGTCTGTAACTCTGCCTCTCAAATAAATAAATAAAATCTTCAAAAAAAAAAAAACTAAAGAAAACTTTATAGGAAATGATTATCTAAGTTCCAAGTTTAGATTGAGAAATCATAAGAAAACTAGAAAAAATAGTCTGATGTAGTTATGGGAACTATCTTGGGGAACCATGGTGTGTATATGTTGTAGATTAAGTTCTTTTTCACTTTTTACAAAATAAAATTCAATCTAGAAAAATGATTTTTCTTTGTTGACTCATACCCAGTTTGTGATCAAAGAAAAAGGCCATGTAACTGGATTTCTATCAAGATTAATGTTTGTTTTTAGAGCCACTTATTTCTTTTTTAAAAATTTATATTATTTGATTTATTTGAAAGGCAGAGCTAGAGAGAGTGAGTTATCTTCCATCTGCCGGTTCATTCTCCAAATGGCTGCAATGGTAGAGGTTGAGCTGATCCAAAGCCAGGAGTCAGGAGCTTCCTCCAGGTCTCCCACATGGGTCAGGGGCCCAAGTACTTCGTCTTTGCTTCCACTGTTTTCCAGGCCATAAGCAGAGAGCTGGATTGGAAGAGGAATAGCTGGGGCACAAACTGGTGCCCAGATGGGATGCCAGTGCTTCAGGTGGAGGCTTGGCCTGCTACACCACAGCAGGTGTAGCAGAGCCACTTATTTCTAATACAATAGATTATTTACAAGACAAGTGTTTTTATTTATTTTTAAAGATTTAATTAATTTATTTGAAAGGCAGAGATAGAGGAAGGCAGAGAGAGAGAGAGAAAGAGGTCTTCCATCCACTGGTTCACTCAAATGGCTGTGATGACCTGGGCTAGGCTGAGCTAAAGTCTGGAGGCAGGAGCTTCATCCAGGTCTCTCACATTGGTGCAGGGGTCGAGGCATTTGAGCCATCTTCTGCTGCTTTCCCAGGCACATTAGTGGGGAGCTAGAATGCAAGTAAAGCAGCCTTGACAGGAACTGGTGGCTGTATGGGATGCTGGCTCACAGGCTGTGGCTTAACCTGCTGTGCCACAACACCAGCCCCAACAAAATTTTTTTTTTTTTTTTTTTTTTTTTTTTTGAGTGGGAAAATGGCTTTATTTGTGTGGGGAGCGGGCGGGCGCGGGCCTCAGAACTTCTGGAACTGCTTCTTGGTGCCGGCGGCCTTGGTGACCTTGAGCACGTTGAAGCGCACGGTCTTGCTGAGCGGCCGGCACTCGCCCACCGTGACGATGTCGCCGATCTGGACGTCCCGGAAGCAGGGCGACAGGTGCACCGACATGTTCTTGTGGCGCTTCTCGAAGCGGTTGTACTTGCGGATGTAGTGCAGGTAGTCGCGGCGGATGACGATGGTTCTCTGCATCTTCATCTTGGTCACCACGCCAGACAGGATTCTGCCCCGGATGGAGACGTTTCCGGTGAATGGGCATTTCTTATCGATGTAGGTGCCCTCGATAGCCTCCTTGGGCGTCTTGAAGCCCAGCCCGATATTCTTGTAGTAGCGCGGGAGCTTCTCCTTGCCCGTCTCCCCCAGCAGGACCCTCTTCTTGTTCTGGAAGATGGTCGGCTGCTTCTGGTAGGCGCGCTCGGTCTGGATGTCCGCCATCTTGCCGGCCGCCTGAAAAAAAAGAGCCAACAAAAATTTTTAATAAATTAGTTTTCAGTGCTCTGGTTATCAGCTGAATCTATGTGAAAACAAATTTGAAAACAGTGAATAGAAAATAATGGTAATGAATTATAGCTAGATTCTATGGTGTTAGCCTCTGGGCCTGAAGCTTGCTTTCTTTATTAAAGAGAGTTTACCAAGTATTAACATATCAGCATCGGGAGTGGGTATGAGCTTCAGTGGTTAAGATGGCTGCATCTTATTTTAGAGTGCCCATGTTGGCATCCTCGCTCTGCTTCTGTTTCTAGCTTTCTGCTAATGTGTACCCTGAGAGGCAGCAGGTGATGGCTGAAGTAGTTGAGTCTCTGTCTGCCACTTCATGGGAAACCTGGATTGAATTCTGGGCACTTGGCTTCAGCCTGGCCCAGCCTCAGCTGTTGTGGGCATTTGGGGAATGAACTAGCAGATGAGAGATCTCTGTCTGTTTCTCTCACTCTCTTTCAAATAAAATAAGTAAATAATTAAAAACATACTAGCACCAACCTTAGATTGTCCTTGATAAAATAGTATCTGTGGTATAAAAACTGAAACAGGACTAGCTTTCTTGCTGTGATTCATTGATACTGAATGTCATTTCCAGAAACTTTGAAACATACTGAAAGAAGGTATTTGAATGAAAAAAAAAAAGAGGTGGGGAGTTGTATTTACTCCTTAAAAAGGCAGGAGGAAAGGGAAGGAGAAGAATCTAGAGATATCCCACTAAAAGCATGAGATATTACAGTGTTCAGAGATTTGGTAAAAGTTTAAATGAAATTTCATAGATGTGTCTGAATTTATTTTGGTGTAGAGGTTTGCAGATTGCTACTCAGTGATTTGCCTTTTCTGTTAGTATCATATTTCTGTTGATTTTGTTTAGCATTGGAATTAATCTAGTTATTTGGAATATTCATCCATTGTTTTTTGAATTCACCAGAGGATAGTAGAAAATGAGAAGATTAATGCAGAAAAGTCTTCAAAACAGAAGGTGGATCTGCAGTCTTTGCCAACCCGTGCCTACCTGGATCAGACAGTTGTGCCTATCTTATTACAGGGACTTGCTGTGCTTGCAAAGGAAAGGTAAGACAATAGTGTCTGCCAGTGGAGCTAGCAGAGAAAGCAGAACAGACTTCTCTATTGGAAGAACATTAGTTATATATGGCTAGCTTTTACTGTATAATTTATGAATAGTTTGTCTTTAAAGAAGTCAGCCATAATTTCACAGTTCACACATTACATTTTTTCTCTTGGTATTACATCATGTACATGTTTGTAAATTTTGTATCCTCTTTAACTTAATATAACAATTTGTCATTGTTTCTATAGTTTTTATGAATGTAATTTGTTATTATAATACCACAACTAGGGTATTTCCCCATTGTTGAGCATTTAGGTACAATTTCCTTTGTTTTTATGGGTCACTAGGTATTTTGTCTATTTCCATGCCTCTTTTGCTTTTGTTTAATGCTTTCTTATGGAAAATTCCCAAGGTTTTCTAGTTTGAAGGACATGATTCTTACTATATAATATCATATTTCTGTCCAAAAATTTATCCTTAAGGCCCCAGGGGGTGAGTGTTTGGTACAGTGGTTAAGTTGCCACTTGGGACACCTGTATCCCATATCACAGTTTGAGTCTCAGGTTTTAAGTGTCCGCTCCGCTTCCAATTCCAGCTGCTAATGTGCACTCTGGGAGGCAGCAGGTTATGGCTCAATAAATTGGGTCCCTACCACTCATGTAGGAGCCAGATTGAATTGCAGCTGCCTGGCCCAGCCTGGCCCAGCCCCTCCTGTAACATGCATTTGAACAATGAACCAGTGGATGGAAGACCTCTGTCTGGCTCTGTCTTTGTCTCTCTACCTTTCAGATAAAATTGAGAGTAAATAAAACTTGTACCAAAATGCTTTAATTAACATTTCCTTATTAAAGAACTTGAGGGAGATATGCCTTTTAGTAAGACTTAGAATAGATGTCTTATTTAGTTAAAGATTATATGAATAAGCAATAAGTAAGTTTTTGATTTATTTGTAAAATAGAATTTATTTTGACAGATTGTTTTGATTCTATTACAACTAAAATGTCGATGTCATATATATACTGAAGGAGAAAATTTCAAGTTTTCAAGTCACAATCTATTTTAAATATATTCTTAAAGTAAAAATGCTGGCAAAGTAATTTATCAGATTCACCCTAAGTATTATGTGAAAAATGTCATCTATGTGTAGACAGCTCAAAAGGATGTTTACAGTGCTAAGAGAAGTTTTGCAGTCATCATAGATGATTTTTATATGTCTTCTCATAGTAGGTTTTTTTTTTTTTTTTAAGATTTATTTATTTGAGGGGTAGAATTACAGAGAGAGGGAAAGACAGAGAAAAAGGTCTTCCATCCGCTGTTTACCCGCCAAATGGCCGCAGTGGCCAGAGCTGAGCTGATCTGAAGCCAGGACCTTCTTCTAGATCTCTCATGTGGGTGCAAAGCCATCTTCTGCTTTCCCAGGCTATAAACAGAGAACTGGATTAGAAGAGGAGCAGCCGGGACACACACAGACACCATATGGGGTGCTAGCACCATAGGTGGAGGCTTAGTCTACTATGCCACAGAACTGGCCCCCATGGTAGAGTGTTTTTTTTTTTTTTTTTACAGGCAGGGTGGACAGTGAGAGAGAGAGACAGAGAGAAAGGTCTTCCTTTGCTGTTGGTTCACCCTCCAATGGCCACCGCCAGCGCGCTGCGGCCGGTGCACTGCGGCCGGCGCACCGTGCTGATCCGATGGCAGGAGCCAGGTACTTCTCCTGGTCTCCCATGGGGTGCAGGGCCCAAGCACTTGGGCCATCCTCTACTGCACTCCTGGGCCATAGCAGAGAGCTGGCCTGGAAGAGGGGCAACCGGGACAGAATCCGGCGCCCCAACTGGGACTAGAACCTGGTGTGCCAGCGCCGCTAGGTGGGGGATTAGCCTATTGAGCCGTGGCACCAGCTAGAGACTTTTTTTTTTTTTTTTGACAGGCAGAGTGGATAGTGAGAGAGACAGAGAAAGGTCTTCTTTGCCGTTGGTTCACCCTCCAATGGCCGCCACGGCTGGTGCGCTGTGGCCGGCACACCATGCTGATCCGAAGGCAGGAGCCAGGTGCTTCTCCTGGTCTCCCATGGGGTGCAGGACCCAAGCACTTGGGCCATCCTCCGCTGCACTCCCTGGCCACAGCAGGGAGCTGGCCTGGAAGAGGGGCAACCGGGACAGAATCCGGCACCCCGACTAGAACCCAGTGTGCCGGCGCCGCAAGGCGGAGGATTAGCCTATTGAGCCGTGGCGCCGGCCTCCCATGGTAGAGTTTTAAATAGCATCTCCACAACTTTTCGTCTTTGGAGTTGTTTTCCTAGTAAGAATAATTTATGTAAAGATGTTAAGAATGAAATAACACCTACTTTTATAAAGATACTTCTCAGGTAGGCTCTGTGTTCCAGTATTAAAATTATTTTTTTAAAAATATTTGTTTGTTTGTAAGAGAGAGAAAGAGAGAGAGAGATCTTCCATCCAGTAGTTCACTCCCCAGAGGGCCACAATGGCTTGGTCCAGCCAAAACCAGGAGCCTGAAACTCCATCCAGGTCTCCCAGGGTAGTGGCAGGGGCTGAAGTACTTGGGCCATCTTTGCTGGTTTCCCAGCCCATTAGCAGGGAGTTGGATCAGGAGTGGAGCAGCTGGGAGTTGAACTGGGGTGCTGGCATCTCAGTACTGGGGTGCTGGCATCTCAGGCAGCAGTTTAACTCACTGCACCAGTATGCCAGCCCCTAAAATTATTGATTTACATTTTGAATAAAAAGAAGCATAACGGCCGGCGCCGCGGCTCACTAGGCTAATCCTCCGCCTTGCGGCGCTGGCACACTGGGTTCTAGTCCCGGTCAGGGCGCCGGATTCTGTCCCGGTTGCCCCTCTTCCAGGCCAGCTCTCTGCTGTGGCCAGGGAGTGCAGTGGAGGATGGCCCAAGTGCTTGGGCCCTGCACCCCATGGGAGACCAGGAGAAGTACCTGGCTCCTGGCTTCGGATCAGCGCAGTGGGCCGGCCGCAGCGCGCTGGCTGCGGCGGCCATTGGAGCGTGAACCAACAGCAAAGGAAGACCTTTCTCTCTGTCTCTCAGTGTCCACTCTGTCCAAAAAAAAAAAAAAAAAAAAAAAAAAGCATAACAGAATTTACTACGCAAATAAATATTGATTCCTTTAAGTGGTCACTTAGAGTTCTCCTCTGTATGCCTTGAAGATGCTATGGCCATTTTCTTTTAATTATTTGCTGAAGGATAATATAATAGAAACTTACTCCATAGTTGTACAGCCTGATAATTGTTAACAAACTAAACATACTTCTGTTGTACTCAAATCAAGAAACTGAATACTGTCTGTCTGTCTTGCGACCCCTTTAAGTCTCTGTTCTTGGTAATCATCATCATAGTGTCAGTGTGTTTTTGAAATAAGTGTTTTAGAATTGAGTTCATAGCTGAATTTAAGCCATATAATAATTTCAGACTTCGTTGTTGGCTGATTTGCTTGCCTATCTCATTTACCCTATGATTACAAATACCCTTTGACTGTAAAATGAAAATTTAAACTTCAAAAGGTATGTTTTCATTATGAAACATTATGTTTAAATTCACACATCTAGTGATTATATGTCTCAACTTTGGATTTCTTTTCCTTTCAGACCACCAAATCCCATTGAATTTCTAGCATCTTATCTTTTAAAAAACAAGGCACAATTTGAAGATCGAAACTGACTTATTGGGAAGAAAAATGTGGTTGATATTGCAGATTTATGTGATTAAGAGGCAACTTAAATTGCCATGATTTTCTCCTGTTTTGGAAGTATCAGAATCTTCAGGACAATAAAATATTTCCAGAGTTGCAGAAGAGAACAGATCTCCCTTATTTTGATTTAATTACCATAATTATTTAATGAGCATATTCTGTGCAATTTATTCTCATATTGTCTATATCTTTGTTTTTAAAATGACCTTCACAATAAACTATCACAAAGCCATTATTTTAAAGTAGTTTTTATTCTGTTTGACAGATATTTTACGCAGTTGAATTATTTTCATAAATTGTTTCTTTCTTGTGTTTTGTAATGCAACAGAGTGAAAATACCGTGGAGTCAAGTATAAATTAAAAACCCAGGGCCGACGTTGTGGCTTACTGGGTAAAGTTGACACCTGCAACACAAGCATCCCATATTGGCGCCAGTTCAAGTCTTGGCTGCCCCACTTCCAGTCCAGCTCTTGTTAATGGTCTGGGAAAGCAACAGCAAATGGACCAAGTTCTTTGGCCCCTGCCACCCACATGGGAAGCTCCTGGCTTCCCCTAACCCAGTCCTGGTCATATCGATCATCTGGGGAGTGAACCAGTGGATGGAAGATACCTTTTTCTCTCTGTCTCTCCATCTCTGTAACTCTGACTTTCAAATAAATAAATGAATTTAAAAAAAATAAGAAAAACTCAGCTAATTTTTCTCAACATTGTTCTTGGGCCTCTCTGAGTTGGGATCCGGTAAGTCAGGAACAAACATCACAGGTGATTTTAATGGACAGTAAAATTCACAAACTGAAAAAAGCATTGTAAAGGGAGTGCAATATCCTCCAGTGCTGTCGACCTTTATAGTAATAGTAGCTATCATTTATAGGCCTATTATGTGTCAGGCATAGTACTGTTTTACTTCAATTATCTAATCAGCAACTCTGCAAAGTAGATACTATAATTCCCATTTTGCATATGAGATAACAGACTTGGGAGAGGTTAGGTGAGTTACACAAGACAACACTGCTGGTAAGTTCTTGCATGAAAATTCAAACCCAGTTCTACCATTGTGTCGGTGAGATATACTAACATTAAGTGCCATCACCTCCCTTTCCATAAAAATAAGCAGCTAGGTGCCAGCATTGTGGTTTATTAGGTTAATCTGCCTGTGATGCCTGCATCCTTTGTGGGCACCAGTTTGAGTCCAGGCTGTTCTGATCTAGTTCCCTGCTAATGGCCTGAGAAAAGCAGAGGAAGATGGCCCAAGTGCTTGGGTGCCTGCACCCATGTGGGAAACCCAGTAGAAGCTCCTGGCTTTGGTCTGGCCCAGCTGTGGCCATTTGGGGAGTGAACCAGCAGATTGAAGATCTCTGTTTCTCCATCTCTCTCTAATTCTGCCTTTCAAATAAATCATAAAAGAAAAAAAGATACTTGTGTCTGAAGGCTAAAATATTAAAATTTTGCCAAAATTAGAAATGTAATGCTGATGAGGTCCGATAGTTCTCTTTAATACAGGAAATACTTATTTCAGTAAGCCTGACACTTGTGGGGAGGTGGTATTATGGGTTTGATTGCCATCTGCAGATCTGCATATTTATATGGGAGAAATCTGGAAATATTTGTGCTTATATAGTAGTTTTCACACATGTTAATCACATCAAATTAACTTTAGTTGCCCAAAATGACCTAAATGAAAGATCTCTGAGTGAGATCCCGGTGGAAAGAAGGGGCCATCAAAGAAGGAGGTACCTTTCTCTGAAGAGAGGAGAGAAATTCTACTTTAATTACGGCCTTGCTTATTAAGGTCGGAGTTTGTGAACTCAAGAGGCTTCCATAGCCTTGGCAGCTGATGATTACTGATGTCATAAGTAAAATAAGTGTGTCAGTTGTTAAATCAACAACAGGAATCACTGTGCACTTGCTCCCCATCTAGGACCTCTGTCCTTAATGTATTGTACTATGCAAATTAACAGTAAAACTTAGTATTCAAACAGTACCTTATACTTTGTGTATCTGTGTGGGTGCAAACTGTTGAAATCTTTGTTTGTTGACAGGCAGATTTAGACAGAGACAGACAGAAAGATCTTCCTTTCCGTTGGTTCATACCCTAAATGGCCGCTACAGCTGGCGCTCTGTTCCCATCTGAAGCCAGGAGCCAGGTGCTTCCTCCTGGTCTCCCATGTGGGTGCAGGACCCAAGCACTTGGGCCATCCTCCACTGCCTTCCTGGGCCACAGCAGAGAGCTGGACTGGAAGAGGGGCAACCAGGACAGAATCCGGCGCCCCAACCAGGACTAGAACCGGGAGTGCTGGTGCAGCAGGTGGAGGATTACCCAAGAAATCTTTACTCAGAGTTGATCTACTGTATATAAAGATAATTAAAAATGAATCTTAATGAAGAATGGGATGGGAGAGGGAGTAGGAGATGGGATGGTTTGCGGGTGGGAGGTTGGTTATAGGGAGAAGAACCGCTATAATCCAAAAGTTGTATTTTTCAAATTTATTAAATAAAAGTTTTCTATAATAAAAATATAAAATGTTAAACAAATTTTAGTTGCCTGGCTAATCTGTAAATTAATCAACTCAAGTGTTTCTAGTAATATTTTATTTAAAAAAGAATTATTTGAGTGAGCGCCCATTGGCAGGTTCATTCTCCAGTTGCCTGCATCTGCTGGGAGTGGGGCTGACAAGCTAGGAGCTGGAAACTCAATCCAGGTGTTCCACATGGGTGGCAGGAGCCCAATCACTTGGCCTATCACCTTGGGCTGGGCCAGGCCAAAATCAGGAGCTTCATCTGGGCCTCCACATGAGTGTAGGGGCCCAAGCAATTGGGCCATCCTACGTTGCTTTCACAGAACATTAATAGGGAGCTGGATGGGAAGTGAAGCAGCCAGGACACAAACTGATGTTGGCTTTATCCACTTCACCACAGTGATGAGCCTCTTAATTTTAGAATCACTGCTGGCTCCCTTAGTCATAATTTAACATTTGAGTGAGCTGTAGTTAGGTAATAATTATTAAAGCATTGATAATGCTATCTTTAAAAAAAAAAAAACTCTTTAGCATTGCTTCTTAATAGCAGTTCACATCAGAGCTACTATAATTTTCAAAATTATAAATCATGTAATTATGTGCTATGTATATTATATACTAATATATGTATGTACATACCTGGAGAGTATGATTCAATTGGGATAGTACCTGAGTTTATGAATGTGTGAATTTGACAGAAGCTCAGGCCGTGTGGTACATACCTTTACCTAATGACTACCTAAGAGGTGTTTGCTTTGGGGAGATAGTGCTGTCTTATTACCAGTGTTCTATTGAATTATTTTCAAGATACGGCTTAAATTACTCAATCTTGAATTTGATACTGAGACTAGGACTTTCTTTTGCTGGCAGTCCATGCACTAGTTAGTACTTACTTTATACCAGGTGACATGCTGATAATGCTTCACATGATTTATCATTTAATCCTCAACCCTGAGAGGTAGATTTAATTAAAAACAAGTTATCTCCATTGCATTTATTTTAAAAAATCACTATTTGAATATGATAAAAAGCTATACATATTTGATGCCTTTGAAGTTGTTTCAAAAAGTTAATGGAAAATGCAATTAAAAGAGAAGTGTTTTTTGGTGCAAAGGAAAAAAAAGCTGTTCTATGTGTGTACAATAGAAATCCTGTTGTCTCGCTGGTATATGAAAAGGAATCATAGTAGGGATCCACAAATGACACACTATCAACACTTTTTCTAAAACAAAAATATTCATCTATATTAGCAATATTTTGATTTCAGTCTGCATGAGGCATCTATGATTGGTGTTCTTTATTATCTTTCTTCTACAAACCAAATAATGCATGGTCAACAAGTTTGTTTAAGTTTTTGGAAGGACATTTTACACATTTTAGGAAGTAATTTGTACAATGCTAGATTTTTTTTTCCTCCCAGTCTTCAGTTAACTAGTTTGCCTCTAAGTTTTTCAATAGATTTTATTTATTTGAGAGTGAGAGGGAGAGACAGAGAAAGGTCTTCCGTTCGCTGCTTCACTCCCCAAACGGCTGCAACAGCTGGAACTGTGCCGATCTTAAGCCAAGAGCCAGGAGCTTCTTCTGGGTCTCCCTCACAGGTGCAGGGGCCCAAGGACTTGGGCTATCTTCTACTGCTTTCCCAGGCCATGGCAGAGAGCTGGATTGGAAGTGGAGCAGCTGGGACTTGAACCTGCGGCCATATGGGATGCCGGAGCTGCAGGCAGTGGCTTTACCCACCATGCCACAGTGCTGGCCCCTATGTGTTTGTATTTTTGGGTTTATGTAATGAATTATATAATAGCATGCTTAGGACAACTGGTATAAATAAGTTGGAGAATGTGATTTGTCCTTGTTAAGAATGCACACTAGGGGCTGGTGGTGTAGCATAGTGGGTAAAGCCACCACCCGTGAAGCTGGCATCCTGTATGGGTTTGAGACCTGGCTGCTCCCTTTCCAATCCAGTTCTTTGCTAATGTATTTAGGAAAGCAGTGGAAGATGGCTCAAGTGCTTGGGCACCTGCACCCACGAGGGAGACCCAGAAGAAATGCCTGGCTCATGTCTCCTGGCTTTGACATGGCCATTGATGCCATGTGGGGAGTGAACCAGCAGATGGAAGACCTCTCTCTGTTTCTTCCTCTCTCAATCTGTAACTCTGGCTTTCAAATAAATCATAAAAAAATTTTAAGTGCACACAAAACTGAGGAAGGGGTGCAGTACTGTTGAGAGTCTTCTTAAAAGAGTATCATCTCCTAGCTCTAAGAGTTCAGTTTTGGGTATCATTCTAGTGGGTATCATTATGGTGGGTATCATTCTAGTGTATTTTACTGAGGGATTGGAGGGCATCATTTACTCCAGTAAGTTGGTTAATGGAAATCAGTTTGGAAAATTCTATGCTTGGGTGATATATATATATTTTTTTAATATTTATTTTATTTATTTGAAAGGCGGATTGACAGAGGAAGAGATAGAGATCTTTCATCCACTGTGTTACTCTTCAAATGGCTACAGTGGCCAGGGCTGGGCCAGCCTGAAGCCAGGAGCCTGGAGCCTCAGTCGGTCTCCCATGTGGGTGCAGGGACTTGGGGGCTCGAGCCATCTTCCACTGCCTTTCCAGGCACATTAGGAGGGGGCTGGATGGGAAGTGGAGCATCCTCGGTCACCAGAACCTTTTCTGAATTAATGTCTTCGCACTGACCCCGCACCACCACAGTTCAAGAATTTACACTTACAGAATATTGTTGTGGCTGGCGCCGCGGCTCACTAGGCTAATCCTCCACCTAGCGGTGCCGGCACACCGGGTTCTAGTCCCGGTCAGGGCTCCGGTTCTGTCCCGGTTGCCCCTCTTCCAGACCAGCTCTCTGCTGTGGCCCGGGAAGGCAGTGGAGGAGGCCCAAGTGCTTGGGCCCTGCACCTGCATGGGAGACCAGGAGAAGCACCTGGCTCCTGCCTTTGGATCAGCGCGATGCGCCAGCCACAGCGTGCCAGCCGTGGCGGCCATTGGAGGGTGAACCAATGGAAAAGGAAGACCTTTCTCTCTGTCACTATCCACTCTGCCTGTCAAAAAAAAAAAAAAAAAAAAAGAATATTGTTGTTTTTAAGTTTTTATATATATTTACTAAATAATATCTTCCCCTTTAACTGGTCAAACA